TGGGGCAATATTGCTGCTGTGAGATTGGGAAACCTTAAAGCTGGTACTATTAAAGTGCAGTAGCTTCATAAGGGACTCTTTAAGAACTGTAGGTGCAGCTGTATTTCCCTGAGCCATTTTGAAAAGGATCATGAAAAAGACAAAACAAGATCACAAGCCAGCAACTGTGCTTTTGGTGGATGTCCTAAAGGGAGTGACAGAAAACACAGGGAGAGGCAGTTTTCGTGGCAGGCAGCATGTCAATGCTTCAGTAACTCACAGCATCTGTTTGAGCTTTGCCTGCCACAATGGGTAAGGCACAATCAGGAGATGTCGTGTAATTAGGTTTCTGTAAAGCACATGATGTCAAAGATTAATGAGCAAGGCAAAAACTCCCAGAAAATAAGGTGTTGTCAGACATCCCAAACTGTCACAGATGGAGAATTCTTCTGAAGACCTGCAAAGGCAAAACTGATTTTTGTGTCAATGTGAATTTTCCCTGTCCTAGAGATGGGGATCGGAGCCAGGCTGTGTGATGCTGCCATGGTACTGGGTGCTCAGACCTCCAGTCCCAGCAAACATGGAAAGCTCAGGTAGAGCTGATAGAAGAAGTGAAATACCAGACTGAAAAGTGGAACAGTTTAGGTAAAAAATTGGGATATTGCAACTTGCTCAGGAGAAGGGAGCAGAGGAGAGAGATCTTGTATGATGTATAATGCTGTAAGCAATTTCCACCTGCACGGTATAAAGACCTGTCCTCGTTAGGTTTCGATGTACTCTACATATGTTAATGCATCATTGGGGCCATCAGAGCTGGGGACATTGTCTGGGTCTCTCTAGCAAATGACTAGGACTTTGCTGCCTTAGGATCACTTGCCTGCATTAACTGCAAGCAAAAATGGAGGACACCCAAAAAAAACCCAGGCTGCAGCATCAAGCGGGATTGCTCACACGCTTTTCCCTTGGCAGTTTTGCTGCCCAGCTCTCGGCTGCCTTCTGCGTCTCCCAGCACCGTGGGGAAGGTCTGTGTCAGAGGCAGGAGCACAAGCCAGGCTGCCTGGCTCCTGGTTTTATGCTTAAGCCAGAAGCACAGGTTTCCCTTCTATCAACAACTTGCGCACTTTTTATTCCTTCGCTGGAAGATGGTCTGCAGTGTTAGGAGAAAATCACTGAAATATCAATGAGTTTTTAACTGGCTTTAGAAAAAAGAGGCTTTTTGAGGGATTTTGAGGTGAACTGTTACAGTGCTACTGTCTTTTTGATTTATTCTGGATGAGCAGCACAAGAGAAAATACAACCTTGTCTCTCAGTGGTTAATTTTCACAAATGTGAATTTTTCCTAGCGGGAGCAAGGAGAAGGTTTCAACACAGGCTATTGTTAGCCCCTGCAAATGCCAAGTGTCTGCTCTTGGGAGATGGAGAACAAAGTTGGCACCAATAATTAGTGGCTGATGCACTGATTTGGCAAAAGTTGCTGAAAATGAACATCTGATGGAGAGGTCTTGGGATGATTTAGTAAAACACAGTGTGGTTTGAGATGACTTTTTGGGATGTCATTGTGCAAAGTGCAGGGGTGATCAGAAGGAAGGTAACATAGAAAATGTGAAGGAGGAGTTTGGTGTCTTCGTTGTTCAAGTTTTTCTCTTGAGCTTTTCTAGCATGTTGTTAGCAGTACAATGATATAACAAAACGATGTTAACTAAGGAAAGTTGAGATGCCAAAACATGACAAATTTCTCGTTTACTACAGATGTAACTTTGTTTCACTTCCTCTTTGGTAAGATACAGGTATTAATTTGATTTGGATGTAACTATCATTTAGGAGCAAATCCAACCAACACAGCATGGGCCGGCAAATCCAACAATTCCTCATCCTAGAGTCTTGAGAGGCAGAGCAGCACTGGAGGGAGAAGTCTGTACGATGTGTGGTCAGGCTGTGCGTGGAGGCATCCCTGCCTGTCCCAGGAGGGCCTCCCGGGAAAGGACGCTTGGTGGGAAGTTGGGATACGAATCAAAAATCTTGCAGCTACTGTTGTAAATATTTTGAGCTGTGCTGCTGGTCTTGGGACGATTCCAGCGCCAGCTGAAGCCAGGGCGGCTTGCTCTCTGCTGGGAAGCATGTTGGGTTGATGCCTCAGAGGTACCAGTACCCACTGGGCATGTTGTCTTAAGGGGGTATCACTCGAGGGGAGAATGGTATCACTTGAGGTAAATGTGGGTATGGGGAATTTTTACGCTCCAAGCAAAATTTAAAGTAGTTGGTTGGCACCCACAGGCAGGAAGATGACTCCCAGGAAGCCTCCTCATAACTTTTCTCAGAAGTCGGCAGGACTGCAGGGGCTATAGTGTGACAGTGATGAAGTGAGGAGCAAAGAAGGAGGACAGGCGGTTTTCACTGCAGGATGGTAAATGCAGGATGGTAGGATCACATTTTGCCTCTGTTTTTTTTTCAGGAATAAAGATACCGCAGTAGGAGTTAGCTTGACTTTGACACATAAGGGAAAGAAATGAAAGCACAAAAGCTCTAGATACCTTGACAGCCAACCGTCCAACAAAATAACAGCACCCCCAGCCAGCAGAGCTGCCTGTCTGCAGCCGCAGCGCAGGGCTCAGGCTCTCCCCACCTGCCCGGCACTGCTGTTCTGCAATAGCAGGTCTGATAGCTTTGGCCTTGCTGCTGATTACTGTAGTTTTTTGTGAGCAGCAGAGAGAGGACACGACCTGCAGCCACTGCCAGCCTAGTCTTACTTTTCTAGAGAGCTTTTAAGATTTATGGTCAAATTTTGCAGTAACTGTGATTTGCCATATAGATCATGAATGTACGGTTGCCCTGCGATCCCATAGCGAATCCCCTGAGACCTCTGTGGTAGTTAGGTAATTGCTTCTGGGTGCTAGCAAGGATTAAGACTGAAGTTTTCCTGGTGGAGTAAACCATGAGGTAGGGCTGGAGCTGGCTGCTTGGCAGGTTTTGAGCCCTGATAAAGAGCTGTCTCCGTTGCTGTAAGGCCAGACCTGTTCCCCCTCCACAATAAACCTGGGAGTGACAGCTGGGCTCTGCGTGAAGAGTGAATTTTCATGCTGAATCATGGATTCTGACCAGACTAATTTTAAAAACTTGCAGCCCCAGGAGCAGAAGCTGCTGGGAGCCTTGAGGCTGGCAATGAGAACATGGTGGTTGTGCTTATTAGCCGCATTAAATGCTTCCCTCCCAGGAGAAGGACATTGTGGCTCCATGGGGATGTAGGACCACCACGTGGAGCCTTCTGTCTGGTGAGCGAGGGGAGCTCTGCCAGTGCTGTGCGGTGGCCTGCAGCAGTGGGTCTCATGACAAACCATGTCCTCAAAGCTTGGTGGAGAAATGGTAAGAAGCTGCCCAAGCAAATGTGTCTTTCAGGGACCCTCCTTTGACTGGAGGTTTCTTCTAGGAGGCAGAGACATGCATCTCATCACGCAAGGCACAGCTTGGAGCACGGGGCAGTAAGGAATGCTGCGGTGGGGGCCAACGAGGCTGGGTGTGTGTCTCTCCTGGCAACCGGGAGCTGTACAGGTGGATACGTGATTGTCAGCACAGCGGGGAGCTACGGTGGGCTCTGCTTAGACTGCGCGTTGCCCAGGACCTGCTGAAATGGCAGCCTGAGGCAGTGGTCATAAGCCACAGACGTTGTTGTAATGAGCCCCGTGATCTTGTGACTCATTCATTCCTTCCCAAGCAGCCAGTTTTGATGTGAAAACTTCAATAAATGAAGATGGAGAATCCACTTTTGTAACATTTCCAAGAGTTGTTTCTTATTTCTGCTTTGAAGATGATGGCTTTAGCTTCTCCCGTTTGCTTCCTATTATGTTTCTGTGAACTGAGCACTGGGAGCCTTTAATCAACCCACAGTGCACTCACTGCCTTTCATCCCCTCTCTGAGCAAGTCTTTTCCTGACATCCTCTGAAATCAAGAGGTTCTTGGTGGGGCTTCCAGGGCTCTTGTAAAGCAAATGATAGTAATGATATTAATGCTAACCATTGTTATTCTGTAGGGTGAAATGTCAAGATTCCGTATTTTCATGTTAATTTTTAGAAGTAGGTGCCATATTAGCTGTATCCTGTCCTGTCAGAGAATATGCTTTTCATATCACAGGGACTATTAGAAATCATTAGTAATAAAGTTGGCTTTTATTGTGCCTGATGGATTGGTCTTTGACATGCAATAATGCAAAGTGACATGGCAAATTGGGAATGAAGGATGAAAAGCTGTTAAAAAAATTAATTAAGTTCATACCTAAAATGTGTTCCTGACTTGTAACGATAAAGAGGATCCATGTTGCTACTGTTGAACTGCATGTGTGTATCTAAGAAAGGAGCTAATGTGTTGAAGCAGGAGGGATTGGTTTGTTACTACCTGCCTGGATAGAAGGCGACTGTATTGGCAGGTGGACTTGCCTTGAAATAGGATTCTGTGGGCAGTAAGATCAGATTTTGAAGTATGGTGTCTATCGCTTTTGAAGTATGGTGTCTATCGCTTTTGAAGTATGGTGTCTATCGCTTTTGAAGTATGGTGTCTATCGCTTTTGAAGTATGGTGTCTATCGCTTTTGAAGTATGGTGTCTATCGCTTTTGAAGTATGGTGTCTATCTTTAATTGTTCTGAAATGGAGGATATCCTTGGTAGCACAAGGCCCCTGAACGGTGTATTTTTGTTACAAGGACTTCTAAGCAATGAGTATTTTACTGCGAACAGCCCCATTCTTCTCATCAAGACATTGGTATAACTTACTCTCCTTTTGGCCTTGTATTTATTATGCAATATTACTTCATAGAAAGTATTGCTTTTACTTTGCAAAGTAAAAATATTTTGGGTCAGATTTCTCACTCATTTAGGTCATTTTTAATTGACATTAAGTGAAACTAAAGATGTTATATAACACACAGAACATAACGAACGCTGCAACTTCAAATTTATACCAGTGTAGCTGAGACCTGAGCCTGAGCTTGAACCTGTCTTGGTTGATAACTCGCTTGTCTGTTTGATTTCAGCGGCTAACCTCACTAATTTGGACAGTCTCGACAGCGCGTGGAGCTTTATTGAAGACCGAGTGCATAGATTGAGGCAGCGCTATCGAAGGCATGCGACGGAGGATGATTACAACATTGAAGTCCTTCTGGGGGTCGATGACTCAGTTGTTCAATTCCATGGCAAAGAACATGTTCAGAAGTACCTGCTGACCCTGATGAATATTGTGAGTACAACCCTGCTAACTGCACTGTGGGAAGGCACTGAAAGGACAGTGAATGTAGGTTGGTTTAGCCATTTGAATAAGACATAGCAGATTTTTCTCATGGCAGGAGATAAAATAACTCTGTGAGGAAAATTGGGGCCACTTTCAGAAAAGCCAAAAGGGGAGAAGGAAAAGAAGAAAAAGGGGCCAAGGAAGAAGCTGACTGTGGGACTTAAAATGTTCAAAGTCCTGCTTATGTGCTTTGGTGGATGGGGGCACAGGGTCAGGGGCTCCAGTTCTTGGTAGTCATTATGTTTTAGCTGTATTTTCCCTTAACCTAAGCTCCCTGCTGAAAAACATGGTTTGGAGAACTGTCTTCAAATAAGGTTCTATTAGAAACTTCGATTGGTTTATAAATTTTTAAAACTACTCAGTTAAATTCTTTGATTCCTCAACAACCACTTTAGGTCCCAGGCCACCTACCTACTCCTTGTTCACCCTGCAGTAAAATGTTATGCAGTATATCACTGAACTTTCTTAAATTGATTTAGTATTTACTCCATGACTGACGTCTTTAGGTTTCCTCAGTTAAATATTTAATCTTCAGAACCATAGTCTGTGCGACAGACTATATAGTGTAGTAGTGATGACAGGAGACACTAGAGAATATTATATTTGAAAGAACCAGGTTTTTTTTCTTCCTAAATATCAGCACAGCAGACACAGTAGTCCTCTAGTACCCCAGTCAGTAAGCAAGGACTCTATTTTATGGGAAAAGAATAAAGTTTTGAAAAATTATCTCTATTATGGATCAAAATCAAAATATGTTTTATTCTTCTGGCCAAAAAATGGAAATGAGTGGTAGCCCACTTCATAGGCAACTCATTTGGGATGACTTTCTCCCTCCTCGTTCTCATCTGGAACAGGAGTCTTCCCAATAAAACACACTTCTGTAAGAACTTCAGGTTCAGTGAATGTTCTTAGTGAAGTATTGTTGAGTAAAAAATTGTGGGTTTGCTCTGTTTTTGACAAATAGAGTATGACTGCTGAAGTTTACAGTCACATCAAGAGAATGAGTGTCTGTAGATGACTTCCTGGCATTACAAACCATAGGTGCAGATATATGGACAGAAATCCAGGCTATTAGGTACATTTGCCTGGGATGTATTTTTTCCAAGATGTATTTTTTTAATTATGAAGCTTGTTTTTTCCTTTCTTTATTACATTCTTTTAACAATGTGTAGAATGTCACTGTTTTTCACTTTAAATGAGAGGTGGAATACAATTTAAGAAAATCCCCAGTGTGATATAAATTCAGTTGCGCTGACTTTTTATAACAGTATTGTAAATAGTTAAAAACCTGCACTAACATTAGAGTTATAGGGTACTTAGTGTCTGCTCTGATGGCTGTAAATACATATATTCTAACAGAAATGACATAGTGAATTTCATTTATTTGTGTGGTTTGTTTCCTCTGAGGCTTAAAACAAAGTCTACAGTGAAACAGATGGTTTTATACATCTCTAAATTAACAAGCCAAACAGGCCAAGCCAGGAATGTGGCAAACAGGCTGAAATAGATTAAACAGGACTCTTTACTTATCATGTCACTTAAATCTATTTTTAAAAATTAAAATATACGGTAATGGTAAAGAAGCCATAAATGTTCCAGCTCTGGAATATACTTTTTCCTAATTTTAGCAAACCATCCAACACACAAATTGTAAGAAATAACAACTCTTAAGCATGCTGTCTCTGCAAGTGGTTTAGAAAGTGCAGCCTGTGTAACCGTACCCACAGGGCCGTAGCAGCTCTTGGCATAGACAGTAGTTGTTCTGTTGGGAGATCTGAGGTAGAAACCTGTCTTTTGGAGACTGAGGAGGTGTCCCTTGCCTTGTGTCCAAATACGAGGAGATGTTTGAAATCCACAAGGCCTCTTGAGGAGGCTCTGGATAGTCTTTGGCAGTCATCAGTGTTGTCCTGTTCTTTCCTTCTTCAAAACTCAGCTGGTTTCTAGAGTCTGTATTTTGGCAGAAGGATGGGTGATGGTAACCAGTTCTGTTTTCAGCTCTCCGAGCATTACTCCAGTATAGACAGGTAAGAGGGGTTTGTTACTGCAGATACCAGCCGATGCTAGGGACCTGTATTGTATCGAGGGATATCGCAACGCAGAACCTCCTTCCCATCAGCGGCGTAACTCCAGCTGGCAACTCCTCCAGCTCTTGCTCTCATTGCTAGATGGATTCAAGGCATATTTCTGTGTAGACCATTGCTTTGGTCTCCTTTGCTGAAATTTACACATTGACTCCACCGTTGTCCTCTCTTCTGACTCCTTGAGTAGTTGGGTGTGTTTTGTAGAAAATGGGCCCAATATAAAAAGCTTTGGGGTCTCTAGCTGTTAGGGGTCATATGTATGCAGCGTTTTTCTAATGAGACGCATAGGTTCAAGGGTAGCTAAAAGAGGCAGCTACAGAAAAATCCAGCTGTCTTTTTAAATCTGGTGGAAGATGCTACCATAACCATCAGATTATGTGTACCCTGCTGGTTTTATGGATGTAATCAATTAGCTTTGTACAGTAACAAGGCATTAAGCATAAAATCAATTAGCTTTGTACGGTAACAAGGTAGTAAGCATAAAATCAAAGAATGCATAGTAAGTAAATAAAATAATAGTGGAAGTTTTTACTGGAGATAAGAGGGTGATCAAATAGTTGAATTTCTGTGGTTCCAAAAAATGAAATAAATCCCAGGTGAATCCTCCCTTGTGCCCAAGCTGCTGGAGGCATGACATCACTTTCCCAGAAGCAATTCCCAGCATGGCTGCTTCTCCCCACTTTACTTGATTTCATTGTGTGCGATGGTGTGAGCAGTTGTCCTTAATTAACTTTTCCCAGGGATCTTGGGTGGAACCCTACCACCAACCCAATCAAAACAATATTATTTTTTTTCAAACCCAGTGCAATGACTTATTCAGTAAATGTGTTTTGTGCTGCTTATGTGATGTGTTACAGTCCACACCTAAAAGCCATAAAGTGAGAAAAAACAGGGGCTGGGTGTCCTGGCTAACTTGAATAGCTGTGCTAGTATTTATCCCAAAGTTTGGAAATGAAGTCACTCCCAAACGAATAGTGATAGACGCCAGAGGATTTTTAACACTTTGGGCTGCAGCCACGTATCGCCTGACTGTACGCCAACCGTTTCACCGCAGTGAACTCGGCCTCTTGCCACCCCCTTTTCATCCTCCAGTCATTTCGTCATACAAAAAATCTGGTTTCTTTTGACATCTTCTCTTTTCTCTGCTCGACGCCATCAGCACATTCAGTCCATCTTTGGAAAATATGCCATTGTTTTCACTTTAGAGACCCTCGGCTGGCTGTCACTTACACCGTTTTCTTTCGTACATCATGCTGTGTTTTTTTCCTGGGAAGGATATTAGCTTGCATAGTCCTCTGCATTTCCAAGCGTGAGCCCACACATTGCACAAATTGACTTTGTATTTATAGCATGCAGGAGCATTGCAACAGAGGAGAGATATTTGGGCATTATCTTGCAGCTCTGTAGTTTACTCAAGAACGTGGAAGGTAATTTATTTTCAGCAAGAAGGCGGCTAAAAATCCCAGGGATTTTATCTGCTTGTACAAGTGTTTGGAAATATTAGAAAAACGCAAGGCTAGAGGTGGCATTGGAGAATTGTCTTGTTCCTTGGGAGACAAAAGGATTTCACTACAGGATGGTTTGGGAGGAGGAGCAGGGTGCTGAATGGGTGTTATTGAGCTAAAATGGGTATTGGTGGTAGCCAGCCCAGGGGCTGAAATTGTCTAATCATTTCATAACCCTCTTTAAAATAGTTTTCAGTATTAAGCAGGCCTTTTGCCACCTGCTGTGGAAGAGCAGCAGACCTGAGACTCAGCGGTACATTTACCTGGCTGGGCCTGCAGTAGTGATTAGGGTGAATATTTCAGCCTCTGCAATCCTGTGTTTAGGGTCACATCCAGGACTGGTATCTTCAAAACAGACTTCCTAAAGAGACAGAGGTAGAATATGTGATCTTACAATATTTCAGCCATTCCAAATAGCAAAGTATCATGATAAGCTCAGTTACAAATGGTTTTAAATGTGTTGGCTTCACCTATCTTGACTTCAAGTCAATGCCCCTCTTCAAATTGTGGTGTTTTTCCAAGTGAGGCCCCTGTTTTAGCTTTTTCTTGTATCCTTTGTCTTTGTTCCTCCACAAAATTCCTCAACTACCTCATATTCTAATGCTGGCAATTGTCATCCTTGTATATTTTTTGGAAGAATTTATCTACAAAGTATGTACATTTTTTGAATTTTGGACAATTTCCAGGGGCAAAAAAAAAATCTTTGATTTCCTTTCCATTCCTTTACTGTAAAAGATGTGATATCGCAATATTTAGGAGTTAGCCTCTGTTGCATCTATGTAATGGATATATGGCCAAAATATTTGCGATACTGAAACCCATCACCTCAAAGCAGATAGGTGCCTAACTGCCATTATTTCAAAGGAATATAGATCCTAAATAGGATTTATGCCTCACTCTGGTCTAGATTTACCTGAGTATTTAGTCATTTACCTGCCTTAGAAATCAGTGAGAAAGAGTTTTTAAAATTATCCCATGGGATTATGTCTCTTCCAGACTTTACATGAAACTTCAGCTCTAGAACAAATACATTAAACAACTTTTCATTTGAATAACTGAAATCAACGGGAGTTAGGCAGCTGAGGGCTTTGGAAAGTCCCCGGAGTCTTTCACCTGCATCTTTCACCACTACACGTCTTTGAAATTGTGGCCCTCAGGCACTTTTGAATATGTTATCCATCATCTTTAATAGGATGTACATGATACTACTATTATAGATGAGATTTCTACTTTCATATCTCTGACTGGTGAGGGATGAAGATTTGCAGGTACAGAACAGCAAGTCCCTAATGAGAGAAGAGGGCAGAAATGCCATCGGTTTCTAACTGGCAGTTGGATGAAAACCTGAAAGCATGTCTAATTC